CTTAAAGCGAAGGGGCAACGAGTAATCTTTGCCATGCTTTTCAAGATTCTCCGCTAACGCGCTCCACTCCTCAAGCCGGGTAACGGTATCGGTAATTTTCTTGGGCGGCTCAGGGTTCATAGCGTGCGTCATCTTTGAGAAAAGGGTCGCTCCGGTAACAACCGAATGCAATTTGTAAACCTTTTCCCAAGCCGTAATTCCGTCACCATCCATGAGTCCCTTTAATTTTCCCCTTGCTTCTGCACCTTCAAGCTTTTCGTTAAGGATGTACCATAAGTCTTCCTCCATTTGAGTTTTGTCTCCCTCGGTGAACTCATAATCTCCTTTGTTGTCATCCTCTGCTTGTTTAGCTTGGTTTGCCTTTAAGTATTCGCTTGCTGTTAACCGACCGTTCATTATGCGTATGATATCATCATCATCTTCCTCTGGGACAACTCCGTCAAATGTCTCCAACTTCTTGTTCAACATTTTCAGTGCCGGTCGGTAACTCGGTTTTACTTGGGCAAGCGCGTTTAAGAACTTGTCGTTCCAGTCTCTGAACTTTGCTCTTTCTCCACTGAAGTTCTTTAACGCCTGTAATGCTTTGTACTCGCTTATCGGTTTACCGCTCCCGTGCTTACTTCCGCTTCCGCCTTTGATTGCTTCCGAAAGCTGACCAAACTTTTCAATTAACTTCTCTTGTACTTCGCTGTTGGTCTCCAACTCAGTAACTCTTTCTACCAATCTGCGAGCATCCCTTTCAAGCGCAGCGTTTCTCTTCGTTATCGCTAACAACATGCTGTTGGTCTTCTGAGCGCTCTGTAACATTTGAAATGCCTCAACGTTCGATACTTCCCTTCGGTCCTGTGTTACTCGCTCGTTAATGAACGTCGCAAGTCCATAATGATTTGCAAGTAACGCCGTCTGAACGTAACTGAAGTCCCCGTTCAGGTATGCCTGCTCGCATAGGTCGTTGAAGCGGTTAGGGTCCATGTTGACCCATGCATCTCTGTCCGCCGGCACGTTAAGGTTGACCGGCGGGTCGCCCTGCGCGGGCCTAGCTGCAGCGGCCGCCGCCGCCGCCATGGCAACCGCGCTCCGCTACCATGCAAAACCCCGAGGAGGGTTCTGCACGGGAGCTCGGTGACAGCGATGACGATCGGTCACCTTTTTCCCTCAGCACGGCGAAGCAAGTCTCGGTAGCTTCAGCCGTTAAATACTTGAGCCAAAGGTAACGGGGACACCTTCACTCCCCAGTCACCTGAATGCTCACATGTTAACACCTCCTCCTCCTCCTACTCCTCCTCCTCCTCCTCCTCCTCCTCCTCCTCCCCCTCCCTTTCCTCCTCCTCTTCCTCCTTCTCCTCATCCCCTTCCTCCCCCTCCCAAGACACTCGACGCCAAGATCTGTTCACAACGTGGGCCCAGGATATCCAGACGACTTCCCGGGGCCAGCTCTTCATCCCGACTTGTTTTACGGCCCCGGGGCCCCGCAAGGGCCCCCTGGAGGCTGGAACTTGTGCAAAGCTTCCCGTCGTGTTTTCTGTCCCGACGCGAGGTGGGAGCAAGGAAAAACGACACCACCACCACCACGAGGGCGAGAAGTCAGGGGATGCCCCCTGGTGGTGTGGCCATACCTCCCCGCTCGAGACATCCCCGACCTCCAGCTTGAAGGGGCATCGCGGACCTTCTCGATGAAGGTGGCTCCCCTGGTGGTGGTGGTGGTTTCGTTTCTCCTTCCCCCAAGCGAGGGGGACTGGGTCCTGCACTCTGCCCCAGGCCTCAACGGCCTCTGGAAGGGAGGCACGTGCCCTCGAGGGCGGCGCGGCGGGCCCGACGCGACGCCGACGGAACTCCCTCGGGGCCTCTCCTGCTTTGCATTTCGGGGGAACCAATTTCGGGCCCAGGGGCCACCGAAAAACAGGAACCGGGGCAAAAAAACTACTCCAAGGAGGGGGATCGGGACCTGAAGAGCGCCGGGGCCCGCGATGGTGGAAAACAGCCTCCACAAGGCGCGGCGCCCACCAGGGGCCGAAGACGGCGAAGAAACGTATCCGAATGGGGGCTCGAAGCCTGACGATGAACCAAGGGAACATGGAAGCGTTTCCCGCGCGACCCGTACATGGGGAGAAAGCACCAGCATGGCCCATGGAATCTGTTTGTCGTGCGCCTGTGACATGCATCTTGGGGGCCCTTCGGAGGCTTCTGGTGGCGTCTTGGGGGCCTCCGGGGCGTTTCTTGGCGTCTCCTAACGGATTTTTGGGGCCGAAGGCTCGACAGGTCCATTCGGATTCCCTGTCTGGGCCCCTTCTTAGAGCCGTCTTGGGGTTATCTTGGACCGTCTTGGAGGCCTCTTGGGCTGCTTGGGTCCCTCTCGGGCTGTCTTGGGGCCGTCTTGGGAGCCTCTTGGGCTGTGTTTTGGGTGATATCGGGAGCCTCTTTGGCTATCATGGAGCGTCGGCAGCCGAAAAGGTAAGAACCACAAGCAATCTTATAAAAGCCTCAAACAACAACAACAACAACAACAACAACAACAACAACAACAACAACAACAACAACAACAACAACAAATTGTTGCCTGTTGTGGCATCCCCAAAAACTTCTTGGAGGCCTCTTGGGGCGTCTTGGAAGCCTCTTGGGCCGTCTAGGGACTATCTTGACTGTCTTGGACCGATCTCGTGGCGTCTCGGAGCCCTCATGGACATCTTGGGTGCTTCCTGGGGCCGTTTTGGAGGCCTCCTGGGCCGTCTGGAAGCCCCTTGGAGGCGCCAGGGCGGGGTACTAAAAAAGGGGGCCCGATGGTTTCGAGGTGGGCGGGGCCCCCGGGCTGGGGACTTGGTATTCATCCATCTTATAGATATAGATATATAGCCGCGGGCATCTAGCTCGATCGAGAAGAAGAAGAGGAGAAGGACGAGGAGGAAGAGGAGGAGGAAGAGGAAATAAAAAGAAGAAGATTTCGCCGTCGCCGCCGATGTCTCACAAATTGTCGTGGTCTTTCCACCACCCGAGGCATCTCCTCGAATTCAGCCTCCAGGAACCGTTTTCGGTGCCAGGGACCACCGCCGAAAGTCCAGGATGAGGATCGATCTCCCTGGCCGGTGCCACCCCTTCGCAAAAGAATGAACACCAGGTGGATCGAGGCTCGAGGCATGAGACTCCTAGTTCTTAAGCGCTCTCCGCCCCCTCTGGGCCTTCAGGAAGCTCCTCGTCGACACAGCTGGGTCCACTCTCGAACTTTTGGCCGGACGCAACCCCAGCTGGGTCTCAACGATCTCCGAGACTATTCAGGAGGTGGAACAGGAAGCCTGGGACTGGCCCCGTGAAGGTCCCAAGAAACTCACATAAGACCACGAAAAACTTCAAAACAATTCCCTACAAGGCCTCCCTTGAACCCCACGCGCTACGCAGGACAGGCCGGAACCCCGAGATTGCCCAGCGATCGCGCGCGTTCCGCGAATTCTGTCTTTCACTCTTGCTGCCGCCCCAAGGGGTCGGCGGTGCGGCGTAAGCCAATGAATCAACAACAGCATCATCAGCGGCAACAGCATCATCATAATCGTCATCATCAGCATCACCATCGTCAGCATCATCATCATCATCATCATCATAATCATCATAATCATCATAATCATCATCGTCATCAGTATCATCATAATCATCATCAGCATCAACATCATTATCACCACCACCACCATAGTCATAATTACCGTCGTGACCATCATCATCATCATCATCATCATCACCACCACCACCACCAGCATCAGCATCAGCATCAGCATCAGCATCAGCATCAGCATCAGCATCAGCATCATCATCATCATCATCATCATCATCATCATCATCATCATCATCATCATCATCATCATCTTCGTCATCATCATTAGCAGCATCATCAGCATCAGCATCAGCATCAGCAGCAGCAGCAGCATAATCATCACCACCACCACCATTACCATCACCACCACCATCATCAGCATCAGCATCAGCATTAGCATCAGCAGCAGCATCAACCTCACCACCACCACCATCATCATCAGCATCGTCATCATCAGCATCGTCATCATCATCATCGTCATCATCATCAACATCATCATCGTCATCATCGTCATCGTCATCGTCATCATCATCATCATCGTCATCGTCATCATCGTCATCGTCATCGTCATCGTCATCGTCATCGTCATCGTCATCATCATCATCATCATCATCAGCATCATCATCTTCTTTTTCATCTTCATATTCATCAACATCATCGTCATCAACATCATCATTACCACCATCATCTCAATCGCGTTGCTCATCATCAACCAACCTCGCCGGTTGCCCCATATCCTTTTCCAGCAGGGAACGGAACGGACCGGAACGCCTGTGCGGGCATGCGCCCGGGTCCCTAGGGGCGAGGCGGGTCCTTCTTGGCCTCGCAGGACAGTTGCGCGCGTCGGGCGCCTGCTCAAGGGAGATGTGTGCTTCACGAAGACGTTTTCCAACTGCTCCCACTGTTCTGCTGTAGCTGATTGTCACCACGTGGTGCCATTGAGGTCATAGTGCCTCCGCGGCGTTTGGCTTCGGGCGTCTGCGCCGTGATGATGGTAGAGTTAAGTCAGGCGTGTCCCCCTACAGGGGGATTTTGGGCGAAAGATAAAAGATACTCAACAAAATACCCCCGAAATGCTTAAACATAATCAAAAATAGTCTCCAGGCAAGATTTTCCTATGTTTGAATATTCCCCCTGTAGAGGGACGGGCCCGACTTCATGGTAGAGAAACCAGCGAATATCATCGTCCCACCTCCTCCACTGTCGTCCATGCTGCCGTTGCCTGGTCTGGGCAGCGGGGAGGCTGGGGTGCCAACGAAGAACGCGCTGTGGCCATTCGTGCGGCAGCTGCTACGCAGCACGGACTGCGCATCTCCATACCATGCCGTTTCCTCCTCCTCCTCCTCCTCCTCCTCCTCCCTCCTCCTCCTCCTCCTCCTCCTCCCTCCTCCCTCTTCCAGCAGGGAGGCAGCGGCTGAGGAGCCATGACTTCTCTCCGAGCACGCCGCCCGCCACCGCCGCAGCGGAGCAGAACAGCGCCGCCACGAGCCAGGACCTGTAAGGCTCGTGCCTCTGGCGCCTGGGCCCGGAGGAGGGGGGGGGGGAGGGTGCGGGCGGGCGGACTTCTTGGTCGCCGACTCTGCGAACGCACGAAACGGTCAAGCTATAGCGCTGGGCCACCAAGGAGCGAGCTGTGCACCAAGGATATACTTCAGGAGAGCGGGACACAGCGCGGCCGCGGAGGAGGGTGAAGCAGAAAAGCTGCGCCGCGGGACGGACGGGCAGGCAGAGGAGGGAGCAGCGGGGGCGGCTGGAGGACCAGCAGGGGCGGAGGACGGAGGACGGGGAGGAGGAACGGGGGAGGCGGACGAAGGGGGGGACAACAGCGAAGATGAGGGCGGAAAGGAAAGAGCATGAGGACGAGGATGAGGAAGAGCTGAGGAGGGGGCGGCGGAGGCGGGGGAGACCGGACCCGCTTCTCCTCCTCCATCCCGCCCTCCCTCCTCCTCCATCTCGTCCTCCCCCCAAGCAATGCCAATGCCGAGTGCTGAGAAGTGGCATTCCTTCTCTGCTGATATCAAGACCCGTCGGAACAACGCCTACTGATTACCACAGCAGCGATTCAGTCCGATTGACACACGATCGTGCCATGTTGTGCGTGCCCGAGCAATCCGCCACAGAGCCGAGCCTGGAGGCACGAGTTGGAGTGTCCTCAGGTCCCTTAAGAGTTCTCCGTGTGCAGTCCTGGGTGAACGAGTGTTAAAAGGCCCAGAACCAAAATTTAGTGTTTCTCCGGCGCGTGACGCGGCTCTCCCAGGGTTCCTCGCATGTTCTCGCAAGACTTTTTTGGAGACCAGAGGGCCCCCAAACGAGCGAAGAGGCCCTCAAGAGGCCCGCAAGACGGTCCAACAGGGACCAAAGTCGCCGAAAGATGGCTCCAAGACGACCAAGACGCCTCCGAGACGCCCCAAGAGGGCTCCAACAGCAATTTCACCAAGGCCCCGAGAGATCCAAATCCTTATTTTTCTCCGTCTTTTGACAAAATGTAGCGTCCTCGCTTTTTCCGGCTGCCAGCACTCCGAGACCGCCCAAGAAGCCTCATCAAGACGGCCCCAAGAAGCTCAAAAGAGGGCCCCAAAGCGGCCCAAGAGGCAGCCAAGACGGCCCCAAGAGGAGGTCCAGAGGGAGAACCCGAACGGACATTTCGAGCAAGCCACCCCAAAGTTACCCCCAAAGCCCCCTGGAGGCCCCCAGAGACCCCCGAGGCGACCCCAAGAGGCCCGCAGACACCCCCGAGGGGTCCAAGAGTGGCCCCAGAAGGGGGACGCGGAACGGCATTGCGAGCACTCCTCCCCATGACGACCCCCGAGACCGCAAGCAGCCCCACGAGAAGCCCTTTTTAACCTCAAGAGCTCCAACACGCCCCCACGAGGCCCAAAATCAGACCTCAAGAGGCACTGGGGAGGCAGCAAAAACAAAGACACCCCCAAACCGCCTCCGAGAGGCGCCCAAGAGGCCTCGGACCTACAACTTAGGCATGGTGGCGCCACTCCATACTTATGTTACATCGCGCGACCCCTTGAAGATGCCAACGATTCTTTACATAGTCTGCCAGAGTTCGGAATCTGACAGTAGAGTTGGGCCCCACCTAGCCGCTTCAGATGAAACGACATGGTGCCAGGGGCGACATCTACAACATATAGCTGACCAGTGGAACAAACAAAAAACATTAGGATCTGAGTAAACTAAGGCTCCGCCTGATCACCACCTCCGAAGAGGCATCAAAGTTGTGGACGATGTCGAATCTCACATTTAGGTACTGGCAACTGTACAACTAGGATTCGTTAGCTGCGCTGGCAAATATAACCAGTAATGGTACGTGCGTTGACGAAGTGGTGTTCATGCGTTCTGCGTTTGCTTTCAAAATGGGAGCAACTGCATGCTGCTCCGCTCATCTCACAACGAAGCGAGGAAGACCAAAAGGCGGCAAGCACACAGATTCGCGCACTCAACTGTCGCGCATGGATGGCCTCGAAAAACCATGGTCGCCACGACGGGACGCGATTCGAAATCTCGTCAGAGTGATGCCCCGCAGGTGTCCTGAGGGGCGACCCTGCGCGGAAACAACACATCTTGGCAGGGGGGGGCGTTCGGGTGCCCGCCAGACCCAGGGAAACCTTCGCTACACCCACCAATCCTCCACCCCTGCCCGTGACCTTTCGAGACGAATGGCGAAGCCGAAGGAGGAGAGGGAGAAATCGGATTCGCGGATGTCGTGGCGGACCTCATGCCAGTAACGCCCGCAGCAGGCCATCTCACCTGTCGCCAGGGCGCAGCGCACCGATGCCTTCCGCAAGAGCGGTCGACTGGCCGCGCCCCAGACGCTCGGCAGACGTCCCCTGTCTTGCTCCTGTGCTGCAGCACTGAACGTCTTCGAGGTCTTGGCCCCAGCCATTCGGACGGCCTGGACGACCTCCTGGACTCCTGGCCAAAGCCTGCCGCCGAAGAGAAGGAAATGCTACATGTCGTTGTGTCGGCGTCTCCTCCGCACTTCCCTCCGCTATTGGTCGGAGGCCCATTCCGTCCCTCGAGGCAGGGCTGACCGCTGAGCTGGACTAGACCGCTCGAAATTAAAGTGTGCCTGAATCCATGAGAATCACCCTCCTCCTCCTCCTCCTCCTCCTGCTCCTCCTCCTCCTCCTCCTCCTCCCTCCTCCTCCTCCTCCTCCTCCTCCTCCTCCTCTCCTCCTCCTCCTCCTCCCCCTCCCCCCTCCTCCCCCTCCCCTCCCCCTCCCCCTCCCCCTCCCCTCCTCCTCCCCCTCCCCCTCCTCCTCCTCCCCTCCTCCTCCTCCTCCTCCTCCTCCTCCTCCTCCTCCTCCTCCTCCTCCTCCGTCTCCGCCTCCTCCTCCTCCTCCTCCTCCTCCTCCTCCTCCTCCTCCTCCTCCTCCTCCTCCTCCTCCTCCTCCTCCCCCACCCTCCTCCTCCTCCGGGCCCCCGCGAACACGGATGCGGGATCCGTGGATCCGGCGCGCGGGCGCCAGGTCCACGGATCGGAGAGGGCACGAGCAGAAGCATGAGGCCAACGCCGCCTGATCTGGCGACAGAGCGCTTCGATTTGGTATGGGACGCACAACTTTTTTTTTTGATTCGCGGGTCGAGAGCGCACCTCTTCCGGTCGAAGCTGAGCGGGCCGCGCGAAGCTTGAATCAACCAAAGAAGGGACGCACAGAGACGTACTGATACTACATGTCCGCCTTGGAGGCGCGCGTGCGACCAGAACATATGGTAGACCCATCTTGTAGCATATCGTTTCCCGAGCGGTGTGGCCAGAAAGCGTCTGCCACGACACATATACTACAAGATTTCTCGGTGCGCCCGTCGCCCCTGGGGGGGCGACGCACATATTATGTAAGAATGCTGGGGTGACGCCGATGGTACGGAAACGGGACCCGTCGCTAACCCACGCGGCCCAATACATGTTTGCATTTCCTCGAATTTCGCGCTTCGCTGCTCCTGTCTCTACTACAACCCGCCCCCCTCCCTGACCTGCCAGCCCTGCCCCATCAACGCTGTCCACTCTCCCACTCTTCTTGAAAGGGGAAGAGCATGCAGCCGCAGTAGGCGTACGAGTTTGTGCCCGAGCGCCGTGTGGTCTCAGCACATGTCCCCTGTGTTTGCGGTGCAGAAACTGGTCATAGGGAGTCGGCAGTCAGGCCCGTCCCCTCGGAGAGGAGGGACACCTGCAGCTCAGCTCTCAAACGCGAGGCACTCGCGCGTGATCACAGGGCTTCAAGGGAAACCACCCTTCCGCGAAGAAGCTTCGAGTCGGGGCCACTGGCTGCGTCGACGCGCACCCATGTACACTTCTTTCCTGGTGCCCGGTTTCGCCGAAGAGATGCCCGAAGGCTCGCCGCAGCCCCGGTGCTTCGAGGGCCCAGATCGGGAGCCCGCGCCTCCTGTGCGCCACCAGGAGCAGCGCGAGGCAGAGCACCACGACGCAGAGGACGAACGACAGCGCGAGCCACCTCGCCCCGCCCAGGCACCCGGGGCCCCCATGCCCGAGGAGAGGAGGAGGAGGAGGGAGGAGGAGGAGGGGAGGGGGAGAGGAGGAGGAAGGGAGGAGGAGGAGGGAGGAGGAGGAGAGGAGAGAGGAGGAGGAGGAGGAGGAGGAGGAGGGAGGAGGGAGAAGGAGAAGGAGAAGGAGAAGGAGGAGGAGGAGGAGGAGGAGGGAGAAGGTGAGCGGGAGAGGAAGAAAGGGAAGGAGGGAAAGGGGGAGGGAGAGAAGGATGGGGAAGGGGGGCGGAGAAAGAAGAGAGGCAGGGGGACGGAGAGCACCTCGGGCGGCCACCCCGCCCGCGAAGAAACCCCGCGGCCCCCCGCAGAGCGGCAGCTTCGCCTCCCCCGGGGGACGCCGCCCCGTGGCCTCCTCGCACGGAGGCCTGGACGCAGACTTCCACGGGCACGCCGCCGGGTCAGAGGCCTTCCAGCTGGGGTCCGAGCAATGTCAGCGAGCGAATAACGGTATAACATAAACTTTTTCGCCGTCGGGGACACCTGCCCTGGGCGGCTGGAGAGTTTATACCCCTACGGTGCCACCGTAAGGGTATAAACTTTCCAGCCGCCCTGGGGCAGATGTCCCCGACGGCGAAAAAACTTATTTTATACCGATATTCGCCCAGTAAAGCAGACTCGGCGGCGAGCGGGGGGGGGGGGACTTCGAGGTTCGAACTTCGAGATTCGAGGCTCTCGGCCCTTCTCGCAGTCTCTCGGCAGCCTTCCGCCCTCCGGGTGCGCTCCGGCGCCTGGGCCTCGCGGAGGGCGTTCCCTGGGGCACCCAGACGACCCAGAAACGAGAGGAGGTGGCGCGCCCAGGGGGAAGTGAGAAGGAGAAGGCCTTCTCAGAAGGCGGCGGGACTTCTCAAAGCCCCCGCGCCTTCTGAGATGCGCCTTCGGGGAAGGCTTAGAACACTTTTCAGAGGGCCAGGGGACTTCCGAGCCTTCTAAGAAAGCCCGCCCCTTCTCATTTCCCCGCCAGACTCGCCTCCAATAGACGGGGTCGGAGGATCGAGCCGAATCGGCGATGCATCGGCTGCTGCCGGCAGAGGACGCCGCCTGAGCACGCTGTGGGCTGCCGCGTGCCGGGTGCCCGGGGCGTGTGCCTAGCATCCCCCGCGAGCACGCGGAAGAGAGCAGCGTGGACAGCCGCCACCTGAGCGCCGATCAAAAACGGGTCTTACGCGAGATGGCATAGCGACCTTGCGCGGTGACTTACGCCGGCCGCCAGCGCGGCACGCGACATTTGAAGCGAGGGCGCTTACGCGCCTTGTTACGCGGGGGCAGCTTACGCGCCAATGTCGGCGCAGACGACCCCGTTTTTTGGAGCCGCTCACCTGTTGCCAGATGGGCAGAAGGGGGGAAAGCCAGCCTGCCCCCGAAGAGGGGCCGAGCCCAGCAGGACCGTGGCCGCGCCGCTCGCCCATCTCACGCTGCGCGCGAGGGTGGCCCTTTTTGCCAGAGTGGCCTCCTGCGCTGGCCCACATGGGGCCCCTTACCGCCGCCTTGCGCTCAGACTCGGCCGCAGCCACCTGGAGCCGCGCACCAGGAGGTCACTCTTGCCCAGGGTGACGCCTGCGTGTGGCCGACCACCGCTCACCTCTCAGTGCACTGGCCTTCGGTGCCTGAGGCCGCCTAGTCGTGGCGCAGCTCTTCGACGCCCGAGGCCTCCCCCCGCGCTCCCCCCGCCGCCGCCGCCGCCCTCCTGTCCCGCTTGCCCAGCGTGCCTCTGCCCGGCGCGGCCCGCTCGCTGACCGACCGCGCTGGCGCCCGCCGCCGCCGCCGACAAAAGAACAGCCGACCGTCCCGCGGCCCCCCTTCCCGGCCTCGCCCCGCCCCCGCCGCTCCGCCGCCGCCCCCCCAGAACACAAGCAGGAGCGCTGGAAGCCCTCGGTCTGCCGCGGAGCACATGAGAATCGACGTGGGCCAAAGCTCATGCAGCAGCGACAGATGGCCCCTGGACGCCCCGAAGAGGCACGAACGTGCTCCTGCGCTGCCCTGAGGTGGACCCTGGCACCTTCAGGTCAGGCCACCGCACAGCCACGGATAACCCCAAGACATGGCACCGGAGCCTCGAAGAGCCCTCTACGACGGATCGTAGACATCCCTGCATGTGCCAGACAATCTCAGACAGGCCGCACTGGGGTCCTCGAGGGGCCCCTACAGGCTGAAGAAATCACACGATCTCGAGTAGTTGATGAGTCTGTCTGCGTACTGTCCAGGCCCAGATACGGGCCCGAGAAAGAGTCACTTGAGTCAGGCCCCAACGTGACTCAACAGGGAGATCTAGGCTCGAATAGGTCCCAAGAGTCCCCCGTGACTGCAACTCCGAGAGGCTATATCCTTTCTGTTTGCTCGTTACTCGACGAAACGACGGCAGGTCTCGTCTTCAGTTACCGTGATCCGTGCTGCGTCCTGGTAGGTTTGCCTCGCCTACAAAGCAGCATCGACAAGAACGCTGGGCAAAGACTCGGGGCAACTAGCCAGATTCACAGGAATATTGAGGTTCGACAACGTCCTCTCCCGTTCCTCTTCTGCCTCGCCATTCACTCATTGTCTTCCACTAACCCCCAGGGGCAAAACGCTCGATCCCTGAATTGACTGCTTCAGCACGCGCGAGGTGCTACATGTTCTGAGCGTGCCCGTTTCATTCTCCTTCGTCCGCAGCCACTCTTCACTCTTCCCCCTGTTGCGATGCTCAGCTCGCTTGGCCACGGCCCGGCAAGAACTCTGACGCTTCGCGGTCCACTCACGTCGCCGCGTCAAAGGAACAGACTGACTGCGCCGGGAGACACCGCAGAGCTCCTCTGATCCTCCGCATCCTCTGCTCTTCTGATTTGCCTATGCGAACCAGAGTAGAGAGTCAACCCGTGGAACAGGTGGTCGTCTGATCGAACTCGACCAACGATACCAATTGCTGAAGACCGTGGAAGGCTCCTGCTTCACATCCCCATGTCCCTTCCGCACATCCCCCACACTCCCTGTCCGCGACCCCCCGTCCCCTCTCCCATCCCCCGTCCCCCCTCCCCATTCCCACCACCACTCAGGCTGTTTGTGGAGCCACATGTGGGGGGGCACGAGTCGTTTGGGGGGGGGTCCTGAGATTGGCAGGGGATCGCATACGAACAACCCCGCTGAGACCGTAAGTGGAGCTCCCTGCAGAGCACAATCCATGTGAAGGGCGCGCCAACATAGGCAAGGAACACATGCCAGCGCCCCCACAGAAGCTCGAGGTGGTACCCCCTCTGGGGCGAGATCCGTGTGAGGCGTGTGCCGAAACGGGCGGGAGGGAGCGCATATGCAAACGCGTCAACTGCAGCCGCAGGTGGAATCGCTGTAGTGTACGATCCGCGCAAAGAGTGTCGAAATCGAGCGGGGGGCGCACGCGAACACGCCCGCCAAAGCAGTAGGTGGCACTGACCTGTGGGCCACAGTCTGTGCGAGGGGCGTGCTGAAGCAAGCGAGGCGGCGAAAGCGAGCACGCCCGCTGAAGCCGTACGTGGAGCCATCTGCAGGGCAGGACCCGTGTGAGGGGGCCGCAGCGGCGGGCGCCGCAGCCTCGGCAGCATGCGACAGGCAGTGCCGCGGCCGCCAGCGGGAAGGAGGAGGGGAGAGAGGGAGGAGGGCGGGGGGCACATTTGGACGCCCGAGATGGTTGCAGAACAAAGGGCACGATGCCCAACAACAAATGTTGTCCAAAACCGACAACGGCCGCTGTCGGCCAGGAGGCCTTCCGTCTCGAATGGGCAGCGTCCGCGGCGACAACGACAGCGAGTCCAGCTCAAGAGGAGCAGGAGCTGCTGTCGGTCTTTATGCGCCCTCTTTTCCGTACCCACTTCGATCGTCCCGAGCCCGAAGCGGCGCGCGACACTAAAAGGGGTCCTGGGACACACGAACAAATAGACACAAACAATGCGATTCGCAATATTTTCCCATTATGTTCTGCGTTCTTGTCTTCCCCCCACTTCCCATACTTGCCCATATTCTCCTGGGAGTGGACGGTTCATTGTGTCTGTGTGTGTTTTCCCCTCCGGACATACGGCGGAGAGGAAGCGGAAGCCCAGAAGCACGGGGGAGGACGCGTCGGGGAAGGCTCGCCGCCGCGGCGGCAGGCTCTGGGCGCAGGGGGGGCACGGGCCGGGCCCCGAGGTGGCACGCGGCAGCGGGCGGCGGCTGCCCCCGCGGGGGGGGGGGGGGCCTGAGGTGCCCCTTGGCCCGAGGTGCCCCCCAGCCTGCCGCTCGATCTCGGAGCCCTCTCGGGCCGTCTTGGGGCGAGCCTGGCGGCCTCTCGGGCCATCGTCGTTCCCCTGGAAGGGGCAAGCGGCGAGTCCCTGAAGAATGTACGTTTTCCGACGGGAGCGGGGCCATGTTTGCATCTTGGGGCCCTCTTGGGAGCCGCGGGGGCCTTTGGGCCTCGCGGGGGGTGCTCTCGAGGCCGTTGGGGGCCGCCTCGGAAGTCTGGGGGCACCCTGGGCCAGGGGTGCTCCTGGCAATACCCGACCCCCGTCCTCCCCGTGGGGCGCCGGAAGAGCGGCGTGCTGCAGCAGAGGTGCACCGCGGCGAAGGTGGCCGTCGTCAGCCACGCCGAGAACACGATCTCCCCTGGCTGCAACGCCTGGGGGGTGGGACTCACCCGCCCGTCGGGGGGCAGGGGCAGGGCTGCTGCTTGTGGTATACTGTGGCCTCTCTGTTCCGCTGTTTGTCGCCTGGTATGCCTCTGGCTCCGTTCTGCTCCCGTGTTTCCGAAAGGCTTTTTGGCCGTGTGGATGTCGTCTCCGCGGCAGACCGAGGGCTTCCAGCGCTCCTGCTGGTGTTCTGGGGGGGGAGGCGGCGGAGCGGCGGGGGCGGGCCGCGGGACGGTCGGCTGCTCTTTTGTCGGCGGCGGCGGCAGGCGCCAGCGCGGTCGGTCAGCGAGCGGGCCGCGCCGGGCAGAGGCACGCTGGGCAAGCGGGACAGGAGGGCGGCCTCAGGCACCGAAGGCCAGTGCACTGTAAGGTGAGCGGTGGTCGGCCACACGCAGGCGTCAACCTGGGCAAGAGTGACCTCCTGGTGCGCGGCTCCAGGTGGCTGCGGGGGGGGTGGCCGAGGCTGAGCGCAAGGCGGCGGTAAGGGGACCCATGTGGGCCCGCACAGGAGGCCACTCTAGCAAAAAGGGCCACCCTCGCGCGCAGCGTGAGATGGGCGAGCGGCGCGGCCACGGTCCTGCTGGGCTCGGCCCCTCTGCTGGCCTTCCCCCCTTCTGCCCGCCTCGCCTCACCTCGCCTCACCTACGGGGGCCCACGTATCACTATACCTCCCCCTGTCTGTTTGTCTCTCTCTCTCTCTCTCTCTGCCTCCATCCTGCACTGCCCCCCTTCTCTCCAAACTCCACACTCCACCCCACCGCCCGACTGAACCCTCCTCCCCCCTAACTACACCACCCTCCCTCCTGCACCTTCAACCCGCCACCCTCCTCCCTTGCCCTCCTCCACCCTCCTCCCTCCTCCCCTCCGACGGCGTCCCGTGTACGCTCCACCCTCCACGCAGCCACCCACCCATCACAACCCTCACCAAGGTTGTGTAGGAGGACACAACTGCCCTCGCGCTGCCAAAAGCATAGCCAACGGACGGTGATGAGGGTGATCGTGAGGCACGACGTCAAGCGGCCGGCGGCGAGCCTGGGAGGGACGTGAGAAGGGAAGGGCCTTCTCAGAAGGCTCCGAAGTCCCCCGGCCCTCTGAAAAGCTTTTCGGGAGCGGCCAAGAGGGGGGTGTCCAAGAGGGGGGGTGCACATCATGGCTGGCGGCATGTGCGCGGCTCAGGGGGGGCTGGGGACGCAATGAAATAAGAAGAGGCGCCATGAAATCTGGGGAACTGTCATGGCCCACGCCATGTGATCCCCCCCCCATACAGTGCAGCTTTTAATACATAGGATGTTTAAGCATCTAGGATGTTTGATACACGATTAATCTATGAACAAATTCATGCATGAGCTCATCGTTGTTTTTACTACTAAATGCCTGCATGATCCGCACGCGGAGCATGTATTAAAAACGGCACTGTAGTCGTCACCCCCCTCTTTGCTGCCCCCGACCTTCCTAAGCCTTCCCCGAAGACACCGAAAAAGCTTCCGAGAGGGCGCGAGGGCGAGGTCCGGCCCCTCTCGCTGCACCCCTGGGCTCGCCGCCAGCACCTGCCTCGCCCGCCTCCTCCTCCTCCTCCTCCTCCTCCTCCTCCTCCTCCTCCTCCTCCCTCCTCCTCCTCCTCCTCCTCCTCCGCCTCCTCCTCCTCCTCCTCCTCCCTCCCTCCCTCCCTCCCTCCCTCCCGCCCGCCCCGCCCGCCCGCCCGCCCTCCCCCCCTCCCCCCTCCCTCCTCCCTCCCTCCCTCCCTCCCTCCTCCCTCCCTCCCTCCCTCCTCCTCCCCCCCTCCTCCTCCTCTCCTCCTCCTCCTCCTCCTCCTCCTCCTCCTCCTCCTCCTCCTCCTCCTCCTCCTCCTCTCAAGCTCAGGGGCGCGGAGCGCAGTAGAACCATTTTTTGGCTCATCTCGGCATGCTCCCTGTCCTGCACTGAACCTCCCCGTGGTGCTTGAGGGGCACCGCTTGACTGCGACACAACATTTGTTACATTCGTGCGGTTGGCTAGTACAGTGCAAAGTTTTCGGTCGACGAGTTTTGCAAGATTGGTGTTTTGGGTTCCTCCTGAACATCATTTTCAACGTCCGTCCCAGGCCGAGGGTTGGGTTGGAGGCACGCGGGCTTCGAGCCCATCTAAGCCCTTCACCCCTCGGCCTGGGCGTACCTCTTCGGCTACGTGAAGTCCCGTCTCAGGCAGTGGGTTCATCGGCTACGCATGCAGTTTTATTGGGGCATTGGGCAAAGGCATAACAATATGGAGGGTGTCATGACGCCGTTTCGCGACGTGGTGCCTTCTCCAGAAGGGCTGTTTTTGGCAAGGTCTTCGAGTTGGCAATATGCAGTTTTCCTTAATGAACCTTACAGGGCCATGGTTAAGGCAGAACGAGCTGGAGGGTACTTCCATTTGAGCTGCTCTGGGTATGGTCAGTGTTCACGGGAGTTTCTGCAAGTTCCGGCCTAGGGCGGGGGTTGGGTTGGAGGCACGCGGGCTTCGAGCCCATCTAAGCCCTCCACCCCTCGGCCTGGGCATACATATGCCGCTCATCTTCCTGAAGTTCCGTCCCATGCCGTGGGTTGGGTTGGAGGCACGGGGGCTGCGAGCCCACTTAAGCCCTTCACCCCGCGGCTTGGGCGTACCATCTCTTCTTATAGTTTTGTATGCTTCTGTATCCTGCTCTGGGTTGTATTGCAAGCGTGCTGATTTTTGCAAGTGTTGCAGTCTGGGGCTTCTGCTGTCGGTGGCACTTCCGTTGTTCGGCTGGGGCGAGGTGGTCTGTGGGTGAGGCGAGCTCCTTCCTTCATTGCGAGAGTTAGCCCAGTGGTCCACGGCTAGGGCCTTATAGAGTCAAACTCACTTCCGCTTAGCCACTGGTTATGTCAATGTGGTGTCAACTCGGCGGCACAGCTTCAGTTTTTATATGTATTTGGTCTGGCATGGCAGTTTTCTCGTGGTATTGCTGTTATCAGGTCGTGTATGGGTCAGCTTCTGCGTCTGGGCAATATTCATAAGTTTCTGCTGGTACCTGTCCTTCGTCCTCTGGTTCGGCGTCTTCGCTTTCGAGCTCAGAGGGCGGCTTGTGTAATATCACTGCGTGATGGCGGAAATCCTGGAAATCCTGGAAATCCTCCTCCTCCTCCTCCTCCTCCTCCTTCTCCTCCTCCTCCTCCCCCTCCTTCCTCTTCTCCTCCTCCCTCCTCCTCCTCCTCCTCCTCCTCCTCCTCCTCCTCCTCCTCCTCCTCCTCTCCTCCTCCTCCTCCCTCCTCCTCCTCCTCCCTCCTCCTCCTCCTCCTCCTCCACCAACCACCACCACCACCCTCCTCCTCCTCCTCCTCCTCCTCCTCTTCCTCCTCCTCCTCCTCCTCTCCCCTCCCCTCCTTCCTCTTCTCCTCCTCCCTCCTCCTCCTCCTCCTCCTCATCCTCCTCCTCCTCCTCCTCCTCCCTCGTGCTCCTTCCTCCTCCTCCTCCTCCACCACCTCCTCCTCCTCCTCCTCCTCCTCCTCCTCCTCCCCCTCCCTCCTCCTCCTCCTCCTCCTCCTCCTCCTCCTCTTCCTCCTCTCTCCCTCTTCTCCTCTTCTCCTCTTCTCCTCTTCTCCTCTTCTCCTCTCCTCCTCTTCCTCCCCCTTCTTCATCTTCTCTCCCTCCTCCTCCTCCTCCTCCTCCTCCTCCTCCTCCTCCTCCGCCTCCTCCTCCTCCTCCTCCGCCTCCGCCTCCTCCTCCTCCTCCTCCTCCTCCTTCATCTTCTCCTCTCCTCCTCCTCCTCCTCCTCCTCCTCCTCCTCCTCCTTTTCCTCCTCCTCCTCCTCCTCCTCCTCCTCCTCCTCCTCCTCCTCCTCCCCCTCCTTCCTCTTCTCCTCCTCCTCCTCCTCCTCCTCCTCCTCCTTCCTCCTCCTCCTCACCCCAGAGACAAGCCAGGAAGGGCGTGCCTGCTTGTACCGCCTCTTGAGCAGAGGGCCGGTCTCCACTCCGGGCCTGCGGGCGGAGCGTCCCACAACTGGGGCTCCCTCTGCCCGTGCCAGCCCTCGCCATTGACGCGTCTGGCGGAGCCATGACGGCACTCCGACTTCCCCTCGGCGCCGAAGGCCGGGAACAGATTGCCACATGACAACACTGATGTCGTGGCGGCCCCTCGCCATGCTTTCTTGTGCAGCGGCATGCAGAGGATAGGTGCTCCGTGCACACGTCGGCCCGCGAGCTTCCAACAAAAACAAGGAAAGAACTTCGTCATCAAATTACTGACTGGCCGCACCGATAACTTGCGTCGTTGCATCTAGGCAGCACACTTCGACAACTCTCTCGCCCTGCTGACCGAGGCGACAAACACCAACGGCAAAGTAACCCCCTTCAAACCACGCTGCAAGGCTGACCTAAGAGAGGGGGCTCAAGGAAGTATGGCAATCCCTTCAAAAAAACACGCCTTGCACTCCCCACGCTTTGCGCTAACACAACACGTGATGGCTTCACAACAATACAAATGCAAGTGCCAACACCACACGCTGACTAGCCGCCCACGGCTCGGCCTGTTACCCGCGCACGCCCAACGAACAGGGGCTCGCCGCATTACTCTACACTACGCTGGTCAGCCCCGCAGTTCTGAAGCGGAACACGTGCATCCTGTTCGACATCGGTAGAAAACTGTATAGTCGGACTTGATTGGAATGGACACGCGCGAGAACACAAGACCCTTCCGAGGGCCAAATTCCCGTAGAATGCAGGAGGCATGGGTCGCGAGGAGCACGACAGAAGGGTACCCTTGATTTGGTAAGCGACGTACCAATCAGGGTCGACTGCATGCCTCGAGTGGATGCGCAATAATGGAATGGTGGTGGCTTGTCGCAATTCGCCGGCCCAACGGGCCAGGGCGTGCTAAGATCTCCGGTAACTGGTTAACAGTATTAACAGTATTTCTAGTTCGCGCGCGCGGGGCGGCCCCTGGGGGTCCCCCGGCGAAAAGTACCCCGACCAACGCCCGACCACCGCCCGACCACCGCCCGACCGCCGCCCGACCACCGCCCGACCAAGTCTACTCAGAGATGGTTTTCCTTCTGGGTGCGGCCTCTCAGGCTCCCCAGAGCGCGCTCAGAGTGCCCCAAGAGGCCCCCAAGACTGCCCAAGAGGCCCCCGAGACGCCCAAAGAGCGCTCCAAGACGCCGAAGATGACCCCAAGACGGCCCAAAAGGCCCCCAAGACAGCCCAAGAGGCCTCCAAGACGCCCCAAGAGCCTTCCAAGAGGCCTCCGAAGAGAGCCCCAAGAGGCCAAAATCGTTGATTGTTCATTGTTTTTTTCGATGTTTTTTGTGTTCTGGCTTTTTCGGCTTCCGGACGCTCCAAGACGGCCCAAGAGGCCCCCAAGACCGCTCCAAGACGGCCCACGAAGCTCCCAAGACGGCGCCGAAACGACCCAAGAGAGCCCTCAAGACGGCCCAAGTGCCGCCCAAGACGGACCAAGAGGCCCCAAGACGGGCCCAAGAGGGACTCAGGAGGGATACCGAGAACTCAAAAATGGAGCCCTCCGTCCCAGAAGGCGCCCAGGAGGTCCCAAAGAGGCCCCAAGAGGCCTCCAAGAGGCCCCAAGATGTCGCCAAGAGGCCCCAGGAGACTCCCAGGAGGCCCAAAAGAAGCCCCAGAAGGCTTCAAACATGTCTCCCAGGCGCCCCCGAACGGCCTCTCAACAGACCCCAAGAGGCCCCCCAAAGAAGCATCTTGACGACGACTCTATTTCGCCCCATCGAGAGACGACCCCCAGGGAACTGCTTCACCATCAAAACTCCCCACGCAACGCGTCCGAACGACACCCGCCCCCAAGAGCGCAACATGGGCAACGAACACACAGACAAAAACCAGCGATGCCATATCACGGGCCGGCGGAATGAGCGAAGCGATTCAATAATGGAATGGTGGTGGCTTGTCGCACACATTGTAGCCACCGTACCATGAACCAGTGGCGGACATAATCCTGACAAGTGTTCTCGAGCCGTCTGCAACAGAGGCGACGAGCTGGCGCTGCGGCGGCGTACGAGACTGAGGGAACGGCCCAGCAGACTTCGCGTCATCATCATCATCATCATCCTCCTCCTCCTCCTCCTCCTCATCATCATCATCATCATCATCAACATCATCATCTTTATCATCATCATCATCATCATCATCATCATCATCATCATCATCATCATCATCATCAGCATCCTCATCAGCATCATCATCATCATCATCAACAACAACAACAACAGCAACAACAACATCAACACCGAACTCGGCCGTGTGGGTAGCCTGGTCAACCTCGTGCGCTTCTCATTGCAATTCCACGGAGGATCCAACAACGCCCTCCGCCCTCCCTGCATCCCCCTGCCACTTGAATATCCCCTTTCGCCTTCGTCAGACACCAAGGCATCTGCCGCGCGCGGCGCGGGCACGACCCGGAGAGCGGCGGCGGGCTCGCAAGGAAGGCGCGCCTCATCGTTCCAGGCCGAACTTAAGGTACATCATGAGTACATTGTACGTTCTCAGGCATTGGTGGCGACAAGACTGCCGAGGATTGTGGCCGGGACGATCGATGGCAAGGACAATGCGAATGTGGAGGAAAAGATGGATAGCAGGGAGGAGAAGGAGAAATCATGGGCGGCACAGCTGCGTTTGCACTGTGCATTGCGGGGCCCGTTCACTTCACAATGCCTCGCTTCACTGTCGCTGAGCACTACGATAATGCTCGCGCTCTTGCTTGATCCGAGCGCTGCTTGCCAGCCCCCGTACGCGGGATGTTGTAACATGGAGATGCGGATAATATTATTATGTCGCGGACTCGGCGAACGCACAAGTCGGTAAGGCTGGATCGAATTGCGAAAAAAACGAATTGCACCAGAAGGGGCCGAAAACACGGAAAGAACAAGCACGAGCACACGGTCGCACGCAGGAACAAGGACGAGGACGAAGACAGGACGACCATGAAGAGGAAGGGGACTGCGACGAGGGTGAAGACGAACACCCACACGTGGACAAGGGCGCAAGCGACAACTGCGACGATGATGGTTCATGATGATGATGATGGCGATGATAATGGTAGTGAAGATGACGACTGTAAAAGTGATTATGGTAATAGTGTCGATGGCGATGGTGATGATGACGATATTTGTTATGACATTGAAAATGGAGATCGTGGTGGTGATGGTGGTGATGGTAGTGGTGATGGTGATGGTGATGGTGTTGGTAATGGCGATAGTAGTAGTGATAAGGATGGAAATCGTGGTGACGACGATTGGAGGGGAAACAAAGAAGTCGGCGAGCCAGGAGTCGGGGAACAACGAAGACAACCGTGAAGAAGACAACGATGAAGACAAGGAGGACGACGTTTCGGGAGGTTGATGATGATAAAGAAGAGGAGGAGCCGGGCGGAGGGGGAAAACAGGCGGAAGAGCAGGAGCGGGAGAAAGGAGAGCGAACGGGGAGGAATACTAGGCTTCGGGAGAAGGAGGAGGACGAGGAAAAGGCAGAGGAGGGGGAGAAGGCGGGGAACCGGTGTAGAGGAAGAGGAGGAGAAGAAGGCGGGGGACCTGTGTAGACTCAAGACGCATCAACGATATTGCAATTAGCCCTTCCTCTCAAATTCAAGGATCACAAGTCTCTGAAAGATTTTTTCACTTCTGGCAATGCGCTGCTAAAAGACAATAATCTGAAAATCACCGACCGTGCCGAATCAACGTCGCTCTTCCGCCCCGACGATCATCATGCAACGTGCCCAAAATCCCAAAAATATTTCTTTGGACTTCGACGCCGCGAATCAACGTGACTGTTGCGCCGTGACAATCCTAGATCGAACCAAAACAGTGTTCCTGGGACTTCAAGCCTGCGAATATATGCGTTTGTGGCACCCTGGCAATCCTGAATCGTGCCAGAAAACCATTCCTGGAATAAGAATCCGCCAAACGGTTAAATAATAATCAGACGAACGCGCGCGGCGCTAGGGCGGCGAAGGTCACATTTTACGAGGGAACCGCCCTCCATCCGTGAAGTTGTTGCAAACTTGCGAAACGAATGTGCGAAACGACAACCACAGTTTGAAAAAGGCCAGCCTTCCATCCGTGAAACTGATGCAAATTGGAAATCCCAGGGTCGTACATGGCGAAGGCGTCTCAAGCGAAACGCCCGCCCCGCGCTACAGACACGTTTGGGGGTGCGACAAGGAAAAGTCACCCATTGAGAAAAATGATGGGGAGCCCCACCCGCCTGCGCATCAGGTTCGTCCTCTGGCGCGCCCACCGCGACAGGACCTACCAGCCGAGGTCCCCGCGGATGGAACCTCTGCACCACCCTTGAACAAGTTGCTGAACACACTGCTGGGAAACAGGAGCAGGAGGAGGAGGAGGAGGAGGAGGAAGAGTAGGAGGAGGAGGAGGCGGAGGAGGAGGAGGAGGAGGAGAAACAGGAGAAAAAGGGTGAAGATGAAAAGGCGGAGTAGAGAGATGAGGACGTTGGGAAGGAGGACCGGGAAGGAGGGAGCGGCGACGGCGGCGCTGAGGGCTGGGAGCAGACCGCCCCCACCAGCGGAAGCGAGGGGGCAGGCCGACCGAAGCACCGTCGGGGGGGGGGGGAGGGGGCGGAGGAAGAGGAGGAGCGGGGAGGGGCAGGGAGGAAGAGGAAGAGCGGGGAGGAGGAGGAGGAGCGGGCAGGAGGAGCGGCGAGGAGGAGGTCGGGGAAGAGGGTACAAGCAATATGAGGACGATCAGATGGTAGGTAGAATCTAAAAATGAGGATGGTACATCAGAGGATTGATCGGGACCTGCTTCTGTATAGTGGACCGCGCGTAGCCCTAGCGGCCCAAGCGCATAGGACGCCAGCGCCTTGAGCCAGACGCCAGAAGGATGCTCGCTACGCTCCCTATACGTATAACCCAGCCCTCTGATCGGTTCCAGAATCGATGGGGGGAGGGGACGAGCGACGAGCGGCAGCGAGCATCAAACTTCACTTTACTGCGGAAAGACTGCACATGGCAAAGGGGCCATGGGGCTCGTGCCCAGACGAGCCGTACCCAGCCTGGCCAACGCCAAGCTGAATATGCAAAGAGAAGGCAGATCCCGACCTGGCCAAGCGCGAGCGACGAGTCTCCAGCATATTGCAGAATGGGCATCAGCTGCACCCGACCTGGCCGAGTGCCAGCGACGGGTCTGCGGGCACAGTCTAACTATCATGATTATTATTCCCGCCGTCGCTCCTCTGATTCTTGCCCCCTACGAACGGATGCAGCAGCGACGTTTACGTGCCTGTTCTCTTCCTGGTTGCAGTGTTCCTTGCAATGAGCACTCGACCAACATAAGCAGCCGCCCAGCGTTTTCACGGACAAGAGCATCACAGAAAGCCAGCACCGACCGCGAAGCGAGCAAGTCGTCGACGCGCTGCCTCGCAAGAGGCTGAGTCGCTGCGGGTCGCTGCCCCAGACGCTGCCCGCTTCTTCTGAGACGCCAGATCTCTTAGACTGTTCCGAATCTGTCGTTCGGACGGCTCGCGATCTTCTGCCTCGCGTTGCAACTCCCATGGCTGGAGCGCCTCAGTCGCAGTCACATCCATGCCGCGGGATGTAGCCCCTAAGTTGGCGTTGGCTTCCTGTTCCACCCTTTAAATGTTCAACGGTGCTTCTCTGGCCTCTGGCTGCGCTCGCACGCACGTCGCGCTGGATTACATAGCGACGGCGCGCCCCCGCTGCCGAGGGTCATTGACCTCGCCACGGTTCGCAGTGCACTTCGCTGCCTCAACAGCAGCACGCCCACGTGCCACGGCTTCCTGGATCTCCACATTTGCCTCGGATGCCAGCGCAGCATGGCGCGCCTCTGCAGCCTTCAACTCGGCGGCCAGCTGGCCAGCGGCGGCTGACTGGCTCTGACTGACCCCCCAGACAGCGAGCATAGCCTTCTCTGCGATTGTCTCCTCAGAGACGCGAGCATGCTTCTCGGCAGCCTCAGCGGGCACGAGTCGTTCAGCCATCTTCTTCAGCGCAGCATCGGCCTGTTCGGCGCGCTCCGGCAGAATGAGCTGCAACCGTTTCTCAAACTTTCCGGCGCCCGAGCCGCTGCTTGACGATCCTCTTCCAACTGGAGCCTCGCGGCTGCCCTGTGCTACAAGTCTGCGGTTCTGATATGTTCTCGCATCTGGGCCATTTCCCTGCTCCTCTCCTCCATCGTAACCTCGCGCTTCTTTTCCTGCGTTCCCCCCCACTCGCGGCGGCGGAGCGCAAGGCAGGTGCGCGCGCCAGACGGCGGGCAGTCCGGACACAAGGATAGTTGCTTGCAGAGCGGGCAGCTCACTGAGCACGCCGCGCGGACGGCATTCTTGCACCTTCCAAAGCTTCCTGGGCACCTGAACTCAGGTCTCAGCACAGTCAGACCCCTTGTTGAAGCATCCGTCAGCGATGCAGTAACTAGATGCATTCGAACGGGCGGTACACGCATCATGAAATGACGCGCCGGACAACGCTCGCGGCTGTCGGCGTCTCGCGAATCCATTGGGTCTAGCCCGAGGGGAACGGGTCCAACAAATCGCGGGCCTGGTCGGGCTCGCCTCGAGCCTTCCCGCGCACCTTGATCCTAAGCCACCAGTGAGAGGCGGTGTCGCACAGAGGGGACTGCCCTCCGCACTTGCCTGCGACCCAGACTCACTAGGCTCGTCGGGCGGTCGTATTCTTTCCGTCCGTTTGATCAATGAGGACCTCACGAGGGCACTGTTGCACCTTGCTGTTTTGCCGCAGATGTCCGCGAGGTGGCCTCGGTGTCAAGCGCGAATTCAAAGCCTTCTTCCAATTCCTGATCCAAATATGACGGGATGTCTTCGTCCCCTGGAGGCGAGCCGTCAAGACCACAGGTCTAGCGATGCCTTTGTTCGCGAAGTCTTTCCGCCGCTGCCGAAGATTAGGGCGCAAGAGTGTTCAAATCGTCTCCTTCCGATGACATCACGACGGGTGGGACGCCATTGCCTTCGATAGGATCTTCTGCCGGTCTGGGCGCGCCTGGTCGCCCCGAGGGAATTCCGCTACCTGAGAAAGAGACTGAGGTGTTAAAACTCCCATTACGCAAGGAAAGTAATGTCGGAGCCCTGACATCGTCAGGGCCAAGGAAAACGCCTTTTTTTCATCGCCTCTGTAATGCCATGTGGGCGTTCGGGAATACCACATGCATCGTCAGGGGTTCCTGGATGGAACGCCTGTTGGCTTCGTGCAACAACTTTCGGTTGATAGCCAGTGTTTGGCCTGGCACGATAGGCAAATGTTTCTCGATGTCAATCGGTCACTTACTTGATGCTCTTCTTCATGCAGCTCAAGAAAAAGCGAAGCTGCCCAGACGAATTGGCGAGCACATGGCTGACAAAGTCCGCTACGCGAACCTACTGTGAGGCCATGTGTGTCTACGTGCACGAGCGCCAGCCGTCCGAGAGGGAGCGAGGCCGCGCGCGCTCTTTTCGCCTTGAGCAACCAGC